GCCATCTTGGGGTGGGAGGAGGGGCGAGATGGGGCGAAATTTTGGAACTCAAAAATCTTGTGGAAGTAAATGCTGAAAACTAAAAATAAATAAATTTATTAAAAAACAGAAATAGGGAATTTATTTAGAGGGGGAAAAAGACAGTATATTATTTTCCTTTCTAATTGCCTTTTGTAAATCCCTTTGTTCCCTTCCAAATCTGTCCTTCCTCAAAGGAATGTTAAATGTAAAAGGTAGCAGTATTGGTTTCTAGTCAGTATTCTGTAATTATGAAGTATAGCTATCAAAACATTTTCCTTAGAGCATTTGGTTTTGGTAGAATACATACATGGGCACAGTTTGGAGACAGTTTAAAGTGTGATCACTGTATGTAATAAAATTACTAAAACATCTCAAAAAAAAAAACTTCTCATGTGTAAAATGGGGATTAATACTCATGCTACCAACTTCACAGGGTTGTTGTGAGGAATTATTACTGTAGAGGTTAGAATACATGGCACGGAGTGAATCAGACTTAGATTCAGAAAGACCAACTCTGACACTTGTTAGTCACGAGAGCATGGACAAGTCAGCTAAACTCCATGTCCCTCAAAACACTCCCTAAAATTTCTAAACCAAATCTTAAGATGGTCACAGTTGGCATTTGTGAAGGTAGTACCCACACTCATTCTCCACATATCCTTCTCTTAATACTTTTAATAATAACCAAGTATGATCTCAAGCGTTGTTTTCAATGGAAAGAATACCAAAGTGTGTCAGAAATTCTGAGTTCTTCTAACTGTGCTACTGATTTCTGTGACCTTAAGCAAGTCATATCTCTGAGCCTCAGTTTGCTCATCTACAAAATGAAGAGATCAGATGATTTTTAAATCCCTTTCAGTTCTAAATTCCATTTCTAACTTCTTTTCCGAAACTCCTTCCTATCAGAAATGTCTTTCTTAAGAAGTAACAATCACATACAGTTATCAACCCTGTGGTTAAGACTCTACACCTAGTTCTGGAAAGAAAGGTACAATTTTCCCACCTGTACATGATTCACCGATAAAATGATCACCTACTTGAACCCAATATGCAACAAAATCCCTTGTAAAATTAGGAGGAAAAAAGAGAGGTTAATTCCAAGAAAACAGAAAACCAGGCCAAGACAGTAGGACCTAAACTCTTAAGCTCCAAACCCTACTCTGTCATACCTTTTACTTCAATGGTGGCATTTGCCTTCGGGGCACTGAAAAACTGAAACACACAGTGGTATTCGCCTGAATCCTCTGATCGAGGTTTGTTGACCCTGCAGATAAAAATAGAAATCAAGTGAGGAGACAAAGCAGCACTGTACAATATGGAGGAGAAGTGGAGAGGCAGAATTCTTTCAAAGCAGCTCACATCTTCATGCTTCTTGCTTCTTAAAGATAAAGTCCATGTATGTTCTAGACACATAAAGAGGTCATGATTCATGACATAAAGGGGGAAAGATGAGGCTAAAACCCTTTTCTCCTGGCACACACCCATCCAAAAATCCTCAGGCTGCTGTAGTCTTCATGAATCAGTACGACTGAACTCTGATCAAAGTCTCTGGCTCCCTCAATACCCTCATCTGGAGTCTCTCACCTGGCCACGTGGTGGGAACTGGCAATGAAGCCAACGAGCAGAAAACATCTTCACTTCTCCCCAAACCTCATTCCGAAGCTCCCTCCACAGCCATCAGTGAGAGGTAGTTTGCCATTCCTATCCTGCTCATCAGGCTAACAATATTCATTAATAAGCAAAAGAAATGGTACCTGGTGCTTGCATGCTAACAAGGTGCCAGGAACTCCATTTAGGTAGTTATGCACTAATTCAGAAGGAAAAGAGAGCAGGTCCACAGAAAAAGCCTCCCACAGAGGTACTTAACCAAGTGCTATTCAACCGTGGGGCCAAATTTGGACCGACACTTGGCACTAGGACCCTTATCTTGGTTAGATACTTCTTGGCAAGCAAGAGGAACTTTGGAGAAGGCACAAAGACAGGAACTTTTCCAAAGAAGACAACTTTTGGAAAGGTCTAGACCACTAACCTAGACCATTAACCTAGCATCTATGAGCTTTTGAAAATGTTTTAAATAACTAGCTGGTTTCCTTTGTAATCCTATTTTATTTTGTGCATTGAAAAACATTCTGGGAAAGAATCCACAGGCTTTGGACACGGCATGCAGGCCTATGACACAAAAAAAAGGTTAAAAAGCCTTGGCTCAAGACTGTCTGATTGGCTCAGTTCTTAGAAAAGCGTTAATGAGGCTAAGGTCACAAGATCAGCTCCCCAAATGAACCAGGCTCAGTTCATACAGAGTCAACCCCTTAACATCAACCATAGACTGACTCCTATTCCAATGAACTGTTTCACATGTTTATGTTAGTCACAAGGAAGAAGAGATGAGAATGTATACTGGCTAAATGTAGCACATTCCCTTCATGAAAGAAAATGCAGAATACATGTTTTGCTCAGGATGCAATAGGAACACAATATCCATGTAAACAAAGGACAACAAAACTTTTCTCGGAGGAAGAACCAAGAGATGATGCTCCCCTTAAGTCTTCCTTATTTTGTCACTAGTAATCTTTTCATTAACTAGTCGATCTGAAAATAACTTAGCCTCACAAAGAGGGCACAGCATAAATACAGTTCTTACTAGCCCCAAATACTCATGATTTGAGGAAGAGCTGTGGCCCTATTTCCTCTGAGAAGACGCTCTAGCGTGATTTCCCTTTGGGAAGCCTCAAAGTGTTGGTTATTCTCTGAGGAAGAAAAATCATCTCCTCTGTTTGAAACCCATGCTCATGCTGGCTGTTAGTATAATAGTGGGGTAGCCTGGAGCTTTATAGGACCCACATATCAGTGCTGCCTCTAAGTGCAGAACAAAGTGACCCTGACAAGTCACTGAGCTTCCCGAGGCCACTCTTCTCAACTACACAGACTTACTAACTGCCAGATTCACAGATATGAGGTCATCTTCAATAAATCACAGAGAACGGGCTTTTGTGGGTAACCAAGTAAAACAGACCCACCACCCTGAGAGGGCCAGGCAACATGAAAACACCATCAAGTACAAACAACATATGCTAATAGATTCTCTCTCATCTCTATGAAAGGTGAATTGGTGTTAGACTTATCATTTTATAGAAAACTGAGGCCCAAAGAGGTTAAGAAACCTGCTGAAGGTCATACATACAGCAAGTCAGTAGTAAGAAAAAGTGTGAGTCCTAAAATGGAAGAAGTCAGAAGATCTGGTTTCTTGGCTCATCCACACACTATGGAATGTTGGGCAATTAATTTACTGAGCTTCTCAGGGTCACAATTTCCTCAGATAGATAATGGGAATAAAAATGTACATTCTTAACTCTTACAAACAAACTCGCTCCCTGAAAAGGCTTTTTCCAGTCCATCTCTGGCCTCCCTGACTATTAGACACTTAGTTGTCCAGGCTTAGTTGTACAGTCCATTTTAAACACTTCCTCTAGGAATGAAAACAAGTCAGCAAATAGAGCCTAAAGGAAAACTTGCCTTAACTAACCCAAAATAACTCCAACCTCATCTCCCACCTTCTCCACAAGTCACTGTGCCCCCAAGTCCTAGAAGACTGCAAGCTCACCTAAGACCCTCCCCCTCCCCCAAACTCTGGCCCTTCTCACCTGTATTCCATGGTGCTGGCGTTCTTGCGGGTGGCTGTTAATTCCACCCCATTCTTGGTCCAGTAGCTGTACTGGAGGCTGTGGGAGCTGGAGGTGAGGTTACACTGCAACGTGAAGGGAGGGGCAGGGCTGTCTCGAATGATGACTTCTTCACTGGTGACTATCCTGGGCTCTGTAATGAGAGGGCACAGTGACAGGAGGCCATAAACCTTCCCTTCTGGCAGCGCTGGCCTGAGAGTCAGAAGGGGCAGGAGAGAGGGGCAAGGAGAAGAGGGTGGGGAGCAGACAGGACCACATGAGGAAATTCACTTCACCACTTTGGAGAAAGTCAAGAAAGAAAAAACAATGTATATAAGCAGATGACCACTAGTGCAGACAACAGCCTAAGGACCAATCAGCCTACACGTGAAAGAACAGGACCCATTCCTTGCACGGATACTTGTCACATCCCACTGATTCTTGGAATGCAATGTCCTAGTGACACAGTGCCCAACCAAATGCCTGAGGCTTTAGCAGTTATTCACAAAGACCAGGCAGGTTCCGCCTGGTAGCTTTTGTCAATCGTGGCAAAATGTTTTCTATTTGCAATAGCCCCTTCTATGGGGTGACTAAGGCCTGCAGCAGTTTTAAGATCAACAAAGGCAATATATATATGGACTTTCCCCCTTAAATATGCACAGATTTTCTAAAGGAGCCTAGTTACAACCATTTCTGACAAAGTAAAAACGAAGCATAAATATTACTTAGGTCCAAACACATACTTCCTAATGGAAGTCTGCCTTGTTTCCTTAATTTTCCTATAGCAAAGTTTTCAAGGAACTGTTCTCATCTTTTTTTCCCAAAACATAGCATCTTTCAGAAATGAAACTTGAAATTCCACTTGAGACAACTGAGGCCAACTGCAGAGTATGAAATGTTTTAGCAGCATTACAGGACATCATGAGCTAAAAGGAACCTTAGAGATCCTATGGTTCAGAGCCCTCATTTTAAAAATGGGAAATGACTTGTCCAAGGTCAGACAGAGAGTTAATAGCAGAGTAAAAGGCTCTTTTATTTGGACATGTTAATTCCTCCTCACCACCACCACCACACTACAAACCCTATAGAGCTGGGCACATCCTACTTTCATGTTTTATTCCAGGCACTGTAGGTTCAAATATGAAGCTGCCCTTTTCTAGTTGATCTAAAATATGTGTGACTAAACATGTAAGAGATTCTAAAATCATATCCAATCATTCTTGGAAGTCTCAACTAGAAAGTATGTTGAAAGCAAATAGCAATCACCATTTTTTTCCTTTTAATTTTTACTCAGACTTTAACACCTTCTTATTGTGGGTCAACAACTACTGAATGGAAAAATCTGCTTTCATTACCTGCCAATCCCCCCCACCACACCCCTCACACCCATATGTCCTTTGTGTGAAGATAAGATTCTTCTGTATCACCTTGTTCTGTCTAGTTATGTCTAATCTACAACTCCAATATACCCTTTTATGCATTACTGTGCCTCATTTCAGGGATAAGAAACCTTCTCCTCTATTTAGAACGAAACTTCTGTTTGTTTTTTTTCTGGGGAAAAGGGAATTACTTCAAAAAACTTATTGTCCAAGTACTTTTTTTCTATTGTAAAATTTTCAACTTCAATTCAACTCAAGTTCAAAGATAATGGTGAAAGATAACATTAAATACTTAAAATTACTCCACAAACAAATTGACCTATGGGTTTCCCAGTCCAAAAAAAGGAAAGTTATCTTTAGTTTATCATCAGGTCAGCATTGGTCATTCTCCCAGTTAACATCAAACAGGCAGGGTCTTTATGTATGAATAATGGAGGCATAGCAGCCACTATGACAGAGAAGCAGATGCATGTTAACACAATCATTGGTACAATGATGTCTCATAGTCTTCAATGTTTTCTGGACTGAAGTCAAATCCCTGCATCTCAGGAAGATGAGCGGAATCTGTTGTGAACCCTGCAATGGAAGGCACACACATTGGCAGCAGAAAGCATTAGAAAGGAATCACACTTCCAAGAGAAAATCAAGACCAAACAGAGAGAAAAAAAAATATTAAACTGTTACTTCACAAAAGAAAAACCAAAACTAGAAATAAAGTTAACATTAAAATTCAAACACTCTTTGAGGTTTTTACTTTATTTTATTGTCCAATTTTGTTGCTCTGTACAGCTCCAAACCCTCCCCCGATGACATGAGGAAGGGGGCTACAAGGACAAGGCCAGCAAGAGTTTTCTTATTTTTAAGTCTAGGGAGGCCAGATGGCAGATAACCATTTCCATCAATGGCTATGCAACTGACTACTGCTTCTTAGAACTATTAGGAAGAACTGAAAGCTATCATCTTCTGCCTATACTTCTTGGACAATACTGGCACAACAAAGAAAAACACCCTTTTTTCCCCCCTTTAAGTAAATGCTAAAAATGCCAGGACAGACTTAGTTGGAAGTAAATGGGGTAGTAATTTGAGTTGGTTTTTGCGTGAGGTGTGATTCTATACTGTCTATGTAAAACTCAGCAGAGGTGACAGCCATCACCTACCATGACAAGAAAATACATAGAAAGCAGCCCTGGACAGATCACCTACTACCACACCAGCAATGTGTATCTCTATATCAGTATCATTATCAACAGATTTGTACTGCATTTCTAGTGGCTGATTATTGCTTATGTCTGGCTCAGTTCAGGTCTGATGAAAATCTGCATTCTATTCTTTCTCTTTTTGGAGGGTTCAGGATTTCCTTCAAATTTCACGGTCTTAGACTCAGCAGCTATGACTGAACTAGAAGA